CATGTATACTTTTGGTTCTCCATTTAGCTGAATTTTAGTCAACATTGCTGCATCAGAATGCATATTTTCGTTCATGTTAGATGGTTGGAGGCAATCTGCGGGAAGACCTGCTTGAACCTAGGTTTCATGCTAGTTGGCACTCACCAGTCAGCAAGGCCTATCTGCAATCTTCTGAGATTCGAAACCGCATCACTCAGTGTGGTGCAGTCAGAGACGTTACCACTGAGGTATTCCGGCTCATGATTGACCTCCTGTAGGACTCTATTGGGTACTTTCATTGGACACTGGTAACTTGTGTGATGTGTCCAGTCCTTTGTTTAGCACAGATTGAATTCTATCAATCAGGTTTTTGGTTCTGTTGATGATACATCTGTCACTGTTAGTCAGTATGAACGACTTACATCCAATAGTAACCTTCACGAGTGAAGAGGCGCATAAAAGACTTTAAAATATATCCTGTTATTCAGAAGAACAGACAGTCCAGTCAAGAGAAATATACGCATTGGGATCATATATTTATGTGTGGAAGAAAGGCTACTAATTCAAACTGCCAAAGAAAGCGGACTTAAGTCAATGCAAGAACTGGCGCGGCGTTGTGCTCCTGTCCTTCCCAAGCGAAATACTAAGCCGAATCATCCTGGAGAGAGTCAAACATACCGCCCTGGATGAAAATCTTCAACCGGAACTGGCTAAATTCAGGAAGAACAAGTCATGCATTGATCAAATTGCAACACTACGGATCATCATTGAACAGAGCTTGGAATGGCAGTCAGTCAGCTCTCTACCTCAACTTCATTGACTTTGAAAAAGGCCTTCGACAGACAGCGTCGACCGAGAGATGATTTGGAAACTATTTCGCTATTACGGGTTGCCGCCAACAATTATACACATCATCCAACAGTTATACGACAATGCTGCATGAGAAGTAATCCACAACAGGAAACTTACGGAATCCTTTGAAGTGAAGACGGGAGTAAGACAAGCTAGCTGGTTGCCTACTATCTCCAATGATATTTCTGATTGTGGCGGACTGGATAATGCGACAGAGAGCGGCAGGCAGTGAGAAAGCAGGCATAAAATGGAACCACGCAAAAGACTTGGAGGATCTGGATTTCGCCGATGATATATGTCTGATTTCCCACCAATTGGAAGATGTGAAAGTGAAAAGCAACAAGTTGGCAGAAGAAGCATCAAATATGGCAGAGACTTTAAGTGAACATTGTGGAAAATCAAGTAGGTGATGAAGATTCCTGGCCAACAGCAACAGTAACAACAACAGACAACAATCAGCATAAATGGTAGGAATCTGAAGGAATCCCAAGTCTTCCTACTTGGGAAGCATCGTTTCAATTACAGGTGGACGGAACTGATGGGGATGTCATCAAAGCGACGATCGGAAAAGCAAGGCAAGCTTTTATTGTTCTCAAGTCTGTGCGGAGGTCAACAACAATCAGCATGGTAAATAAGATCCGGATTTTCAACTCCAGTGTGAAGTGAGTGCTACTATACAGATCAGACTTAGCTCGCCATGAAGAGAACTTCAAACAAACTACAGACCTTCATAAACAGCTGTCTTCGCTCAATACTACCCTAGATCAGACGGCTGGCCAGAAAAGGTCTGCGACAGGGAAGGATCTCTGGGAGTGAAGCAACCTAGCAGGAACCGATTCTGCAACAAATAAGCAGGAATAATTGGAGGTGGATTGGTCATACTCTGAGAAAACAAACCATCAAGTTAGTGACATCACATTCTAGGTCATTGTTCGAGTGGAACCCGAATGGGAACTGGTGAGTCAGTGTGAGGGTGACATAGAGGAGGAGAAGGAGGTGATGTGAAGAGGAGATGAGAGGATGTGTGCAGACGTGAAAACTTTGGCAGAGAACCGAACTCAATGGAGACATGCAGCTGAAGCCCTATATTCCTCTAGGAATTAAATAAAACAATAATATATAGATATGTGTATAATTACAGGTGGTGAAAATTTTAGTTGTACTGGGTTATTAACTCATGAGTGCTTAGTGATCAAGGTAAGGGCTCGATTTCTGATGTTGTATTCCTTAAGGCTGGAGTATTTATAACTGATGATTAAAAGTAACAGGTGGAGATTTGAATGTCATGCTTCTTCGAGTGTAACACCAAAGCATCCAGTTTCGTAATGTATAAAACAACTAAAAATTTCTTTTATCATCATCCAATCGTACATTTATATGACAGTAATAATTAGAGAAATAGTGTTGTTAACAGACGGCAACATAATATGGAATTTGCATAAGATAAGTACTTGACCTGGTCGATATTGCACATTTTCATAGATCTATTCCTCTTCGGTATAAAAGAAATTTGGTAAAGGCCCTTCAGCTACAGAAGTAGAGCTAATTGTTCAGAAGATGTGATTGACGAGGAAGTTAAAGTTGTATAGGACACATTAAAGGAAAACAGCTACCCTGAAAAGAAGTTCATCACTAAACACATGGCTGAGAAACTAGACTAGATTTCTTCTCTACTTGTCAAGAAGAAGTCTCTCTCTATATATACGACTACAATTCAAAGGTGATATACATCCAAGTGAAATAATAACCAACAAGTTGAGCAAAATCGATTCAAAGAATGTTTAGTTCCGGTAATCTGCAGCTCACATTTTCCACACACAAGTGGTTGTCATTCCGAAACTGAAAGATGAAGTACCTATCCCAGCTGACCACTTCTAATTGTATCTGTCAATTCAACTACTCCTGTGTGTAACAACAGAAGACAAGGTCCAGGCAACAAATCGTTTATTAAGGAAAATCAACACATATTTATAGATTTCAATGTACATTATTGTAGATTATTGTTAGTAGAAAATACAGTCTTTTGATTGGTTGGTTCTCACAGAAAGTTAACCTTGCATCTCTTTGTGGCTGTGTCAGATCATCCTGTATGCTAACTGTGTCCGCCTACGCAAAGCCTTTGTTCTCATTTTCTCACCACCAATATTGGGGACATAAACATTGACGTCAATTACTATCTACCAACTTTGGCTAGCAGCCAGCTCTCATCACATATGGAGCCAGTTATATTGGTCATAGTTCTAGGAACTTAATATTTCGTGCTCTCTCGGTAACACTTACAAGTGTGCTTAAATAAAGATGTTGTTAAAACCGTTAACAGTTCTGTAATTGGACTATCTCGTCCAAACAGGCCACAAAACTAAAAGTATTGAAGAATCTTCCTCAGTCATCTATAGCGTATCGAACACTCCAATTACATTACAATTCGCTTAAATCAACTGGAGATCTGTGTGCAAAAGAAACAGGTCTAGTCAGCCACTATCCCTACCGATAGCTGCTACCTTGACGTGGTGGTCGGGCTCGCACATCGCGATGACCCAACAAGCTACACTGGCTGGAACCAATGTTTCTGCAGGTCCTATCATGCCAGGAAAGTTGTTAGGATAGCGATTAGACTAAAAGCAGTTACCGGCATAGTGCAAGAATCTTTCCTACACTATGCTGGGGGTCTGTGGGTGAAGTCGTACTGCTCGGAGTAACAGCAGTAAGGTGTTTCCTTCAGATGACCAGCATGCCAGCTATGCTGTCTCTCCACTCTGATGAGAGGGGGTTAGAAAAGGTCGACCCCAAAAATTGTACATCCCGACTTACCCTACGGTGGTCCGTAAACGGCGGTAAGTTTACTAACACGGAACCAAACCAAGAAACCAGTTCATACAGGCCGTGTGTGACTGGCCTCAAGCAGTTGTCCACTGGCCTCTCTCTGTTTCAAGTAGCCAAAGAATCAAGCAACTTCCACGGTGTGGGCAGCTGGGAAGTAACAACCGCCCACACACTTCCACTTCCAAAAGACAGTCAGCCAATATTACAATCCTAGCCTCCTGAAAAACTTATAAATTCATAAATTCTAAGTTTATTTTCCTTAATTTATCTGATATTCAATCAGTTTAGTGTTATATGAATGCATATTATCTCTTCCTCTTTTACTGACGCTTTTGAAATGTAATCACCGGTCAATACTATTGATTGAATGTAATTTAAAACAACATTAATGTTGTCAATAGGAATATTTCTTCAATTATTACTGCCATATAAATGTAGAACCTAATGAAGAAGGTCTTTAATCTAAAAGAATACATTTCTAAATTGGCATCTTAAATGAGCTAATCGAGATAAGTCGGCTTAAGGAATGCAGGCGTTGTTTGACACTTCCTTCATTTATTGTATGAATTAATATCTGATTCTCAAGTATTGGTTGTTTTGGGATTTTTTGTTTGATTGGATAGAAGATATCATAATAAGCTGACATCAGTTAGGGAATCATTAGAAAACCTGAGAGCACTGGACAGCTGCTTCGTCTTAGTTTGGGGCTCTTCATCAGTACGCACACCCACCATGGGAGGAGTTTGAACCCAGGACCTCCTGGTTACAAGGCCAGTGAGCTGGCTCGTAGACCATTAAGCCACTGGGACCTGATCCAATGGCCAGCCAGCCCATGAATTCCAACTTCTGTCGACTCACGACATAGCGTGACCACTTCGCAATATCGTCTTCAATGATAACCTATCCTCATCTACGACTTGCTGTACCCTACTGGTCACGGTTTCCTACTAGAACCCCAGGTAGTATAGCAGGTTGAAGGTGAGGCAGTAACTCATCGAAGAAGACATTGCGAAGTAGTCAAGCTATGTCATGAATTGGCAGAAGTTAGAATTCATTGACTTGGCGTTGGATAGGGTCCCAGTTGGTGAGTGGTCTACGGGCTAGCTCACCGGCCTTGTAACCAGAAGGTCCTGGGTTCGAACCCCGGTTGCGGCGGGTGCGTACTGCCGAAGAGTCCCAAACTAGGACGGGGCAAACAGCTGGCTGTCCAGTACTCCCAGCTGGTGGTTTTCCAGTGATTCTCTAACTGATGTCAGCTCATGATGAAATCCTCCATCTAATATCTGTTTCATCTGGGTAATGTTGTCCTAATCTTCCTAATTGTTTAAAAAAATTTTTTTATTTAGTAAACTTCTACTGAAAGCTGCACGCACTGCTTCATCTCCGATTGATTTAACCTCAATGGTACGTAAAGAGGAGAAGCGTTATGTATACCATCCTGATGCGATAAGTTATCTTATTCTACGAGAAAGATCAAAGTAAGATTTTTATACATTTTCCACATACCCTGTTTTTTTAAAAACTTTTAAGTCGTCATATTCTCCAAAAAATAGTGAATATATTGATTTATATAATGTTTAAAACATTTTGATTTTTCAATGCGTTATTTTATTGAATTCAAAAAAACTGAAAAAAAACACATTTGCATTTTTATACAGTTGACCGGTTTATGAAGTCTTAAACAGTTAGTTTCAACCAACCAGTCAGACAGCCACGTTAGGAGGTGTAGACTTCCTGACTTGGTTGGGGTCCTCAGGATCCTAAGAACCAATGCCTGGAGACAGTTGGTGATACGGCTCAAAATTGTTCTCAATGTCTGGTGCACAGATGCATTCATTCAATTGTGATCTGTCATATATCCAATGAAGCCGTATTGTTCTCTCAGGTTACTATTCTTTTTCCCTCATATTTGTTTTTACGCCTCTTTTGAATGCCTCTTTACTCTTTTCTCTTGATTAGTGTGCTACAAGGAGGGGGTGTGGCAAAACGAACAGCTGTGCTCCTATGCAAAGATCTATGTGGAAACCAGTCAGTCAGTCAGTTACAATTGGTAATGTACCACACCTATTGTCTGGGATCTAATGATACTACCTGTCGGTGAAGTGGGATTCAAACCCATAACCCTTTGGCTCCCCCTCCCCCCACCCCAGTTTTACTCATTTAAGCTCAAAGGGTTTTGATCGAAATACAATTTTTGCCCAATAGTCATATCGTCACAGCTTTATTATAGAATAGCTAGACAGCTTAACAAACGTATTAATGTGCATCTTCCTTTGTCGTTCGGAAAAGGTCAAATAAAATCTATAAGAAATTCTGTTTTGACTTATTTGATTGACGATAGTGGTCACAGGGTGGATAGAAGAAGTGCCTTTAGCGTTATCTATCGCATTCCATCGGGCCTTTCGAACGAAATCGGAACCCGCCTTTTACACATAGCCGAAGCTATGGGAATTAATTCGAGAGAACACTTTTAGTCTTTGCAGACGACAAAAGAAGTTTGTTCTACCTTTGTCTTTCCCTTGTTCGCCTGGGTAAATTCTAATCAAAACCCTCCCACCCTTTCTTATTTTCCATTCCCTTCGTACTGTTCTAATGATATTTATTTAAACTGATTATCTGTCCACTTTACCCTTAGTGTTACATAATCTTTTAGATTTGACCTAATTTATTTATTGAATTGTCTACATATATACATATTACTACCTTCGTCATTCTTGTCGCCACCTGCATAAACCTTATTATCAATATTTTTTTGTCATTATAATCATCGTTATTAACTACGTTCAAAATATTTACCACATTATTATTATTCTTTGATCCACAAACTCATCGTCACTTGTTGAATTTCTTACATATAAATCTACGTAAATTAGAGTAAAGCCTGAAGAAGATCTAATTGAAAACAACAATATTGTTTGCTTATATGTCTGACTATTGACTGGCTTCAACGTAGAACTTTGCACAGATATGCAACAGTTCGAATTGCCACACTCTCTCCATGTAGCATGCAAAGCAAGAGAAGAGAGGTAACAATTAGAAATATGAGGCAAAAAGAATAGTGATATGGGAAAACAATATAGTATTATTGGATATTATAAGTCCTACGTGGCTGGTTTAAACTAACTGTTGTGGATTTCATTGACTGATGAAACCATCTTTTGGTATGACCACCAATAGCTAACTCTTTTCCGACCTGATCCATTCTATGTCAGCTAACATTGCCTATCGGTCGAGGAAGGCGATAGCTAGACTAGGCATACGTAACATATGCCCTAACCGTCTCGATCAATGTAACTGCACAGACTTGTTGATTGTTTTCCCCTCCTTACCTAGCACTCGACCGACGCCTAACTTCAATATTGCTCACTCTATTATACCACTTCACACGAGAGATAGAACGCAGGCACCTATGATCAAAGACAGCTAGCCTTTTCATGTCCTCCACTCTCAATGGCCAGGTCTCACAGCCATAAAGGAGGATGGGGCCGACTGCTGAGCAGTACACACGCCCTTTTGTCGATAACCGGAAATCAAGTCTACTCCAGAGATGGCGTAAAATAGCATATGCGAAACTAGCCTTCTGTATGTGTGCTGAGATTTCGTCAGGGATCAACCCACTGGCATTGGAGCTGCTGAAACTTCCCAAATAAGTGAAGTGGTCAGCGTGCTCTACCACTTTACTCCCAATTTCTAAGTTAGGAGTGAGTCGATGTAGTCCAGTCTTGTAGCCAAATCATCTTACATTTGGCGGCAGAAATCATCGAGTGGGTAGATTCATACAAAAAGAAGTAATGATTCTATAGTTTGACTCATTGTTTGTAGAACAAGGTTGAATTAAATCGAGTTGAAGTTCTGATATAATACTTCTGTTAGTTAAAATAAGCTCGCTGTTTATAATACATGACATACTGGCCAATTAGATATACTAATCGTAAAGTAACATTTGAATACTATCTGTAGAAATTTTTAATAGAGATATTACTATGCATTCAGCCGTCACCAGTCTCTCTGTAGCTCAATTGTATAGTAAGTATCCTTAGCCGTTAGCCTGATATATTATTTTTCAAGAGTTTTTTTGAATAAGTTTGATTTGTTTCGAGTTTTGCCACGGACTAATATCAGCTGGGAGTACTCGACAGCTGTTTTGTTCTAGTTTGGGACCCTTAAGTAGTACCCACCCATCGGGGTTCGAACCCAGGACTTTCCGGTTACAAGGCGAGCTCACAGACATTCAACCATGGGGACTCGATCCAATGACCAGTCCATGAATTCCAACTTCTACTAATTCGCAACATCCATACAGTGTACCATGTCAGACAAGAGAACAGTTACTTGTCTGTTACATTGTCTGGCGGTCGCACTGTATATATCATGAATTGGTAGAAGTTGGAATTCATGGACTGGTCATTGGATCGAGTCCCTATGGCTGAATGTCTATGAGCTCGTCTTGTAACCGGAAGGTCCTGGGTTCGAACCCCAGCGGTGGGTGGGTACTACTTAAGAGTCCCAAACTAGGACGTAGGAAACAGCTGTCCAGTACTTCCAGGTTTTCAAATGGTCCTATAACCGATATCAGCACATGATGAAATCCTGTAACCAGTGGATGTAACTAGGTTTATCGAAAGTTGACCTTCAAGAACCAATCAGATTTACGGAACACTAAGAAAGGTCAAATCAAATAATACATCCGTTTATAGATTTATTCAGGTTAGGTATAGTATTCGACTTATCCCCTAGATACTTTTTCCTATAAATCTGTACTTCTGAATAAGGTTAGGGTTAAAGTTAGGACTGGAGGTTAGGGGTAAGTGTCAGGGTCAGGAGTATGGTTGGATCTCAAAGCACAGTCAGTCACGCGGATGAATACATCTATCGTGCATGGTATGCTTTCTATACGGATTGTCATTAATATATTTCTAAGGATTATGCTACTTTTTAGCATCTGAATTCTGATTGGTTGTTCAAGGTCACAGTGATCTTGGCTGTGATAGGTGGTTAACTTCGTCATTTTTAATTCATAACAAGACCCCATCTGCACACCAATCAATTAATTTCACTTTATATCAAGATGCATAATCTTAAACGAAGTACTTTTTGTAATTTGATATTCTACAGTTGTCTTCCAGAGGAATCTCAAGTGGAGATGAAGAAATTTAATCTTGATTATAGTCGACTGAATTCGTTTATTCGTGAGAAAAGTAAGTATTGTTTATTCCTTTAATTATTTTTGTTTCCTACACATAATTAGGATAAAGTATTATGTTTAAAATGCTGTTTGTGGGTGTTTTTTTTAATCTAAAGAGTATCTTTCACCCTTAGAGTGTAGTAGGTGAAGAACCACAGGGAATATTCAGCTTCTTTGGAGTGAAAAAAAAACTAACAAAAATATACAACACCGGACAAGTTGCACTTGGGATATTTATGAGATGAATAAAAGCAATGGGGAAGAAGCTCTCGACCTAGGTTTTGTGTTTGTGGGTAGTCATTGGCAAGACTTATGTGTGATCTTCTAGGAGCTCATGTCTGCTTTAAGATTGGAAACTGCGTCACCTAGTGTTGCCGTCAAAGGTTACCACTGAACTGTTCATCCTCATAGTTGACCTCCTGTAGGAGGCCTATAATGAGTACTTTGATTGATCAGCATGTATTATTACTATTTTTTATATTATTGTTCCCTTTGGTATCGAGTGGAACAAAGGACTTTAAATGCACATCTCCATTTCGCCCTATTCTCTGCGGTGCTTTTTAACTGGTTCAGTGATTGCCCATAGTCTCTCTTTGGTGTAAGTATAAAACTTGGGCACTGTGGTAGAGTATAACTCTATTATAGATAAGATTTTTTTTCGATAAGTCACACAGTGTTACACAGTAATATTAACTGAAGACTACATTTCGAGCACAAATTATTGCTCATAATCATATCAAGACACTACTCACACAACTTTTTCCTTCATTTATATACATGTGTGGAATTGACTCGATATTTGAATAGAAATCAGTATAAGATAATGTACATTCAGAAATAATAATACCAGTGTTATGGATCAAATACAATCAGATGGGAAATAAGACGAGTGTTTTTATAGTCATAATAAGTAACTTGTTAGAATGTTGTGATGTGCTTGAATTGAAATAGAATTTTAAGATTCTTTATTATCCTCCTCCGATTTGACTGGTGGAAATGAAATCTTCCATATTTCTGATATTTGAGTTGAGTCATTTCTCTTGCATGTGTTGGGTGTAGACTCAATGAACGAGGATTCAGTAATCAACCACTCTCTCCACCTACAAAGATTACTTCTTAGAATCTTAACCCTCTCCTACCGTATTGTGTAGTTGTGTGTTAATGCCTGTAATGCAATTGCTGAGCTTTGTTCTAGATTACTTATCTTCTCGGGTTCAACCATTCTTACCTTAGCCAAATTCTTATGTTCCACCAATCTGATTACCACTGATCTACTAGTTTGACCTATGTAGTTGACCTCACAGTCATTGCAGGGTATTTTGTAAATTATATTATTTTGTTTAATTGGGTCCACCGGGTCTTTTAGCCTACAGAGCCTATCTCTGAGTGAGTTTGTAGGTTTGAATGCCAATTTAATTCCTGCTTTATTGTGAATACTACCTAGGGAAGGTTTCAGATATCCCCTCCTTATATGGTATAACAGTAGATGACTTATATTCTCTCCTATTTATGTTATCATTACTGGTTTCCCCATTATTTTTATTTTGCTTTTGACCTTTTTCGATCTTCCTAATGGATTTTATAGGATAGTTACTTAACACCAACGCCTCTTCTATCTGTTTTATTTCATCATTTAGGTCTTTTTTTGTGCTACTTAGTGCTACTGCTTGGCTTGTTAAACACCTAGCTAAGCCTGCCTTAACAATTAACGGATGAGATGAATTAAAGCCTATATATATATATATATATATATAATCTCTTTGTTGTCACACGGTCTCCTCAATATCACCCTCGGACCAACGCTCAACTTGTCGTTTCACATTTGGGTTCCACTAGAGTTACAGACTGTCGCGTGATATCATTCGACGGCTTCCTCGACGTGTGCCGTTTGCATCATCATTTTCTTCGGAATATTTATCGAATAGTATATCCTTGATTGGCTCATTCCGAGAGTTTCTTGTTGCTAATTCTTTCTGACCGGCGATATGATCTTCAATACGGAGATGGCGAAACCAGCTGTTGATAAAATTGTTCAGTAGCCTGTTGGAAATGCTTTTCGTGACTCTCTGGACAGGTTTCTGATCCGTATAGAAGGACTGACTAGACATTTGTGTTGAACAGATTCCGAATCTTGTTCTTCATGTTGAGGTGGAGTGCAGAAGGCTTCTAAACTGGTTTCAGGTTAATGAAGGCGTATCTTACCTTTCACATTCTGCCTGGCTGACTGGCTTTGACATCTTCATCCGTGTTGTCGGACTCCCTGTGGTTAAAACCGCGCTTCCTGGCCAGATAACTGAGGGAGGAGGGTGACCTTTGTCAAATCTCTCCCGCTGATGGTGACTGGCGTTGGTTGCTGTTGTTATTGTTGTTTCTATTGGTTGGTTGTTTGGTTGGTTATCTTCATCACCTCCGTATTCATCTTCGCTATGTTCACCTGGAGTCCTATCTTCACTTCCTACCTGCCTCTTCACCCAATTCGTTGGTTTTCATCTCCCTGCAAGTCGTCAAGTTTGTGTGACATTAGACATAAATCATCCTTACTCGAAATCCAGATCTTCTAGAAGGAGTCTTATCGGTCACTACAACGCACTTTTGTCTCCTCCCTCCCACCGCACAGTCTTCTGCATAATCCAGTCAGTTCACCACAATTAGGAATATCATCGGTGATAATAGACAGGCAGCCATCCATATCTTACTCCTGTATTCACTTCACTTCACGTTTCATTGAGTTTTCTGTTGTGGGCCACCTGACACTTGACATTGTTATACAGCCAACTTTTGAATGAGGTTTATGAAGACATGGGCATTGTACGCCATAGTGTTGGAGCATTTTCCAAATTACTTCTTGGTGAAAGCTGTGGGAGAAAGTGGGGATGGATTAGACACTCGCTGAGGAGGCTGCTGGGTGACATCGCTTGTCAGGCCCTCGAGTGGAACCCGAAAGGGAAGCAACGAGTGGGATGTCCAAGGGTGACATGGAGGAGATCGTATGAAGAGGAGTTGAAACAGTATGGACTAACATGGATGCAGGTGGAAAGTACAGCAGAAGACAGAAGCCAGTGGAGACGTTCAGTTGAAGCCCTATGTTCCACTAGGAACCCAAGGGAACAATAATAATAAACAATAATGAAAGCTGTCTGTCGAAGGCCTTCTCGAAGTCGATGAAGTTGTTGATGTAGAGGTTTGACTTCTATTCTATGCTATGCTCTGTGATGACAATGATAATACGTAGAGTTGCAGTTTGATCAGCGCATATGATTCGCTTTTCGTGAATCCAGCTTTTTTTGGAGGAGGGGGTGCAGTTCTGTATCCAGTGCATCTTTCATTGTCTCCCGGACGATGCGACATAGTATTTTACTTGGCGCAGATAAGAGCATAATTCCGCGTTAGTTCTAGCACAGGCCTGAGTCGTCTTTCTTTGGCAGCTTGATGAGGTAAGCTTTCTTCCAGTCGGGAGGTACCTTTCCATCTTTTCTAACCTTTTGCATTAGTGGTGTGAGAACATCTGTTACAGCCTCCGGGTCCGTTTTCGGTGCTTTGGGGGGGGGGAATTCTATCTGGTCTTGCTGGCTTCCCAGCCTTCAGTAGCTTGATCGCATTCAGGATTTCTGCTTTCTTTGGAGGATTGGTGTCCACTGGCATTTCCATGAGTGCTGTTGGTGGTAGTGATATTTCTGGGCGACTTGCAGGTGAAGATGTTCGATTCAAGAGTCCTTTGAAGTCATCATCCCATTGCTTTATTTCTTTCTCCTTCTTGGTAATCAGGTTCCTTTGAACATCTTTTATTGCTTTCACCATCCGGGTTGATCTCTTCCCGGATACGGATTGACCTGTTTATCTGATATAATGTGCTGAGGTCTCTTTCACCTGTGGCCTGCCTCCCTGCCTGCCTGTTCTGCTTCAGCTACCAGCCAGTGTGTCGTAGAATTGTCGTTTGTCTTTCCTAGACTTCTTCTTCACTTCTTTATTCAGTGCAGTGTACATTGAACTCAGCTTCTCCTTCTCTTGTTGTTCATCTTTGCATTGAGTCATCTTCTCTTTCACCATACTCCTCTCCTCTATTCTATTAGCTTCCAGGTAGGTGTCCATTGACAGCCATTCTTTGTTGTGTCTCTTCTTTCTTTCGTCTTAGAACAGTTGTACATATTTCCTTGAACATCACCTTCCGAGAGTTAGTTCCAATGTTCTTCCAGGCAGGTTTCCTCGATGATAATACGCAGTGTCTCTGACTTTGCTCTGATCTGATCTGTAGTGAAGGCATCCCTTGTAGTTTCGTCCTTCAGTTTCTCAATGTTGAACTTGAATTACAGTGGCCTGTCTCTAATTTTTTTGAGGGATTTCAGCTTCACCTTGAAGGTTCCTTGAACTAGATGATGGTCTGAACCCACACCTGCTCCTCTTCTGGACTTTGTTTTCAACAGACTGGCTGTGTCTCCACTTCCTTGAGCAGCATTGAGATGAAATCTATCTGGTTTGTGGTGTGTGCATCAGGTTAAATCCATGTTGTCCTTGTGTTTGTAGACGCTACCTGCAATCACCAAATCAAGGGAAGCGCGGAATTCTATGGTTCATCAATTATATATAGTCTCTTCTAGATTGATCACTGTTATCGTGATATTATTATTATTCCCTTGGGTCCCGGGTGGAACACAGAGCTTCGACAACACATCTCCACTTTGAAATAATAGAGGAGATTTGTAGCTCAGGTGGATGATTTGCTCCACGATTAACGATAATCTCTCATTTCCCCCTCGCCACACGAACGCCCCCATTTTACCCTCGCATCGACGACCCACTCGTCGTTTCACATTGGGCTTCGACTCGAGCGATGGCCTGCATTGTGCTCGATACTATTCGAAGGTCTCCTCAACGTATGCCCGATCTATTTCCATTTTCTCCTATATGTTTGTCGAGCCTAGCTTACTGGCTCGCTAGTTTTCTGGCCGGTCCTAAGACCGGGTAAAGAGGGAGGCTTGGGCGTGGGACTAGCCATTCTACACCACAAAACAATCAAACGGCTACACACACTTCAACGTACAAGAAAAATATTAAAAATACGAAATTTTAAAAAACAAACTTTGATGGACTCAGAGAGGCGAAATGACACAGCGGGCTGATGAAAGCCCGCCTTCGGGAAGCCAGTCAGTGAGCCTATATGTCCTCTTTCGATGAAAGCAAGAATAAGAAAAAGGATGTGGAATGCACGTACAATGTAATCGTGATAAAACTACCAAATTAGGATCATAGAGGCTTGGTACAGTTTGATATGTAAAAGAAAGACAGAGTCTTTTAATGAGTTTATAAACTCTTATTGTTTATATGTCTGAGACAACACTTTACGCGTCAGAAACTCGGTGTTTCACGAGAAGAATTTCTAACAGCCTGCTGCAAACTTTTTTCAACAGCTGCCTTCATTAGCTCCATACTGAAGATCAGAGACAGCCGGTCGGAAAGGATTACCAACAAGAAACTCTGGCTGGACCAATCAATTAAATACAGAGATGGATCAGATACACGTCACTAAAGAAGAGATCGTCGAATGACATTGTGCTACAGACGATTGCTCGAGTGAACTCCGGGTGATAAACGACGAGTCGGGCTCTACTCCGAAGGTGATATGAAGGAGATTAAAGCTTATGGGGAATTATGGAGCCAGCTGAGGAGGATGGCAGAAAATAAGCCAAAGTGGAGATGAGTTTTGCAAGGCCGTATATTCCACTCGGAACCCAAGAGAACATAACATCTTCTTTACTCCTATAAAACTCAGAAATATCCATGTTCCAACTGGTTTCCCAGTGCATTACATATATATGTTTTCTAAATTTAAAGCTTTTTTTCCCTCCATCGTTGTACATCACCATGGTTTATTTCTTGTTTTTTTGTCTTCTTCTTTTCTCTCTCCTTAAACAAAGAAGAAGTAAATGAGAAAATATTGCGTACACTTAGTAGTGATAGTTTGTCACACAAAGAAGATAGACAACAAGATTTGTTAAAAATATGGCGTCAAAGCATACTACCGAATTGGAGAACAGGTTATCCACCGAAAAAAATACGGCAATATTTTTGGGAAGGTATACCTTCAGCTATTCGTGGACAAGTAAGTATTGTTAAATGTTATTTTTTTAACGATTCAACCTCACTGAGTTGCACCTTGAGCATAAGTGTACAAGTTATTTATTTAAAAACTTGAAAGTGAAGAAATGCATACGGCAATGTTAAGTTTCAAAATGCTTTACTTGGAATATGATTGAGCAGTACCATGCACATCTTCCTGGAAAGAATAAAACAATGCACTGGATACAAATTTTCACCCCCTCCCCCAGGACAAGCGGGATTCAGAAAAGACAAATCATGTCCTGAGCAAATTGCAACTCTACGAATCATCAATAAACATAGCCCAGAGTAAAATGACAGGCAAACCTATTATTATTATTATTGTTATTGTTCCCTCGGGTTCCTAGTGGAACATAGGGCTTCAACTGCACGTCTCACCTGCATCCATGTTAATCCATACTGTTCCAACTCCTCTTCACACGATCTCCTCCATGTCATCCTTGGACGTCCCACTCGCCGCTTCTCTTTTGGGTTCTACTCGAACACTGGCCTGACGCGCGATGTCACCCAGTGGCCTCCTTAGCGATTGTCCAATCCATCTCCACTTTCTTCTGCATATTTGTTGGGCGATTGGTCCTTGTTTTGTTTGTTCCCATACTGTCTTGTTGGTTCTTGTTCTTTCCGGCCGTCTGATCTTGAGTGTAGAGCGAAGACAGTTGTTGATAAAGGTCTGCGACAGGCTGTTGGAAATATTCTTTGTGACACACCGGCCAAGTTTCTGATCCATCCGTATAGAAGAACTGACTGACTTGACGTTTGTATTGAAAATCCGTATCATTTTGTTGTTGATGCAGGCTGAGTGACGAAGATTTCCAGATTGGTTTCACGTTGATGATGAATGTGTTTCTCGCCTTCCCGATTCTCGATTTGACATCCTCGTCTGTTCCTCCTGTAGTTGAGACAACGCTCCCTAGATAAGTGAAAGAAGAATTTACCTCTTTCAAATCCCTCCTGTTGATGGTGATTGGCGCTGGATATTGCTGCTGTTGTTGTTGTTGTTGGTTGGTTATTTACATAACCTCCGTCTTGTCTATGTTCACCTGGAGTCCTGTCTTCTCTGGCTGCTTCTTCGACCAGTTTGTCGGTTTTCGCTTGTAAGTCTTCGATTTTGTGTGACATCAAACATAAATAATCAAGGTAAACCTATACCTCAACAAAATCATCGACTTTGAGAAGGCCTTCGACAGAGAGCATTGACCGAGAAGGAATTTAGAAAGTGCTTCAACACTACAGCGTGCAGTGCCCAAGTGTTTATCAACCACATTCAACAGGTGACTGTAAAACAATGCCACGTGTCAGGTGATTGATAACGGAAAACTCACTCATCGAAGAAAGTGAATACGGGAGTAAGACAAACTGGCTGGATGACTGCCTATTATCACTCAAGAGGATATTCTGAATTGTGGTGAACTTTTTCGATTATGCGTCAGACTATGTGGTGGAAGCGAGAAGACAAGAATACGTTGGACTGATCGATAAGAAGACTCCATCTAGAAGATCTGGATTTCGAGTGTGGATGGTTTATGTCTAGTGTCATACAAACTCGAAGACTTGTAGGTAGGCGAAAACCAACCACCTGGCTGAAGACGAGACTCAGGCAGCGAAGACAGGATTTCAGGTGAACATAGTGAAGGTGATGAACATAACCAACAAAGCAACAGCAACAACAACCAGCATCAATCACCATCAACGCGAGAGATTTGACAGAGGTCACTCTCCTCCCTCAATTATCTGACCAGGAAGCACGGTTTCAAGCACAGGGAGTCGGACAACACGGATGAAGATGTCAAAGCCAGTCAGCCAGCGAGAATGTGAAAGGCGAGATACACGTTCATCACAGTTTGGAAATCTTCTGCTGTCACTCAGTCAGCATGAACAACAAGATTCACCCCCTGTAAGACTGTATTAAATACTTTAATTGAATACTAGATATTACGTAACAAATCTCATTTGTCTAGTCCTTTGTTTGTTACGGAGAGAATTTTATCAGTTAAGTTTGCAGTGTGACCTTGAGGCGAAAAATCATAAAAACCAGTGGGTTTTCACATAAAGGTGACGTTTTACTGGCGCAACTTAAAAATATCTCCCAAATTGTATTGAGGAGTATCAGTTAGACCAGTTCCTGTACGTGTATTCATTGAGGTGATTGAAGATCAGCCCATTTTGTGACCCATTTATCGCTCTTACCTTGTCTTCCTCAAAAGCCATCGATTGAATTAGTATGGCGGTTTTAGTAAGAGGGTCGACAACTGTTTACTAGAAAACTGAGAATAATAAAAATAAAACATTCTAACCGTAATCCTAACCTCAAACCTTGATCGTAACCCTAACGAGCTATTGACACGTTGGCCAAACTGTACTAATAATCGAGTTCAGGGTGAGATCTTTACCTCACTTCATGAACAGCGTTCACAATGGCTCTATAATAGTGGTAGTGTATAGGTAGAAGACGAAAGATTTAGTAACGGAATATTTATTTGCCATTTGTTATCTTCAAATCCCCATTTGCACAGATCTTCTATGATGTGCTCTACTTCCCGCCTTCATATTGTGTTTCTTTGTGTCCCTTTCACGTCTCCAATGTACCTCCGCAACTCTGTATCATTTGCTGCCTCTGACATCAAATCAAATTTATCTATCTCCCTGCTATCTGATGTTTTTATGAGGATGAACGTCTATGTATATATACTACTGATAAATCTTATCAGTAGTACAGGTCACAAAGTTACTAAACGAATATTCTTTGCTGCCCTATTTCTTTTAAATTTATACCACGAGGGTATTTTTCATGTTTCGCATTCATCTTGATAAAACCCATAGTTCATAAATGACAAGGTTTGACCTCGCCCGAGTTGATATTGATTTGAGAAGGTCTGAGAAACCTGGAAGTACTAGATAGCTATTTTTTCCTAGCTTAGGACTCTTCATCAGTACTCACCAACTGGGGTTCGAACACAGGACCTACCGGTCACAAGGACCACTCAGCCACTGGGACTCGATTCAATCGCGGGCACATGAATTCTAACTTCTACCAATTCATGATGAGTTTAGCGTGACCACTGTCAGCCAGTAGTGTCATTCGTGACAACCTGATGGACTCCACTGCTCACTACTTCTCACCAGAACTCTAGGCAAAATTGCCGTATAGCCAGCTAGCCAGCCAGTCAGTCAAACATTAATGAGCATCAGATTAATTTTTGAACTACAAACCAACTCTAGAAAACTGATGTGTCTTTTTGATGCGCATAGTAATTCGTTAAATGTAGACTTTGATCATAGATTTGGCATTTAGAATTGATTGTATGTATGAAGCAAGTGTAGTTTCGTCATGTGATGGTTCTATACTTCTGTCGACTAGTTAGGGTGTGCAAATGTGTCTGTGTTTGTGTGTGTATGTGTATGTGCGCGCGTTCGTTTAATATACTTTAATTAAATAGTTTAGAAAAGAAATAACAGTTTGAAATTGTATTTACTTATTTATTTAACATATTGAATTTCGTTTTGTTTAAACATTACTTGATAATTAATTCCATAAAAAAGAGCATCAATTTGAATTGTAAATTCTACAAAACATCGAAAATTTAAGAAAGAAAAGCAAAACATATACATTAGATATAGGTGTAAAATAAATGGTAAATAACGTGTAGCTCCAATGACGAATACTCAGTCGACAGTATTCACCCTAGCTGCTATTGTGTGTAACAAAAGAAGATAAGCTACTTGGTAGTACACCTACATCCTTATTAGTCACATAATAAAGTTCGACTAGGTCAGAGGAGAATAGATTGTTCTGATTGATTGACGATTAGCCCAATGGTTAAATGAGGAGATGAAAAGTTGTCCAATGAGATTATTTTCAGACTACAAGGTAAACTAAGTGCAGATTTGGACACTTATAAACACTAATATATGTTTTCAAGTATTGGTTTTGTAGGGATTTTTGTTTGATTGGTTGGAGGATTTCATCAGGCGCTGACATCACTTAGAGAATCATTGGAAAACCAACAGGGAGTACTGGACAGCCATCTGTTTCCCCCGTCTTAGTTTGGGCCTCTTCATCAGTACGCACCCACCCAACAGCCACGGTTTGCACGCAGGACCTTCTGGTTAAAAGGCGAGCTAGCTCGTAGACCATTAAGCTACTGGGACCCGATCCAATGGCCAGTCCATGAATTTCAACTTCTGCGAAATCACGACATAGCGCGTCCACTTCGCAATGTCTTCTTTGATGGGTTACTACCTCCCCTTCAACCTGCTACAAACTACCGGTCATGGCTTCCTACTAGAACCCCAGGTGGTACAGCAGATTGAAGGTGAGGTAACTCATGGAGGAAAACACTGCGAAGTGGTCGCGCTATGTCATGAATTGGCAGAAGTGAGAATTCATGGATTGGGTCCCAGTGGCTAAATGGTCTACGAGCTAGCTCACCGGCCTTGTAACCAAAAGGTCCTGGGTTCGAACCCCAGTGGCGGCGGATGCATACTGCTGAAGAGTCCCAAACTAGGACGGGGCAAACAGCTTGCCGTCCAGTACTCCCAGCTGCTGGTTTTCCAGTGGTCCTCTAACTAATGTCAGCTCATGATGAATTCGTCTAACTAATATATGTGTAAAACTTGGGCGCTGCAGTAGTGTGTAATTCCACATTAATTTATTTATTAGACATATTGCACAGTGAATCAGTGTTATTTATTGGACGAAAAAGTGTCGAATACAATTTATTGTTCACAGAAAGTACCCACCCAGACATGAATATAAGAATAACAATGTTAAGCGTAGAGTCTCTTTTCGCTGGCGAATTCATTCACTTACCTGTACAATCACATTCATATATAGTTATTTTGTTTGTGTGTGTGTGTGTGCATTAGGATTGTCAAACGAAAATAAAATAAAAATTAGTTATCGTTACTGCTTACGCCATCAAAATGTGATGAATAACCAAAATTGTAACTGGTGGGTGGGCGTGAAGATTAGTAAGCATTGACAAGGGTTGCGTAATATGAAATGGGATGTTAATGGAGACACTTGTCCAAAAAAACAAATTATGTAATAGGTAGAGAGAGTAAATAAAGGGTTGGTTAAAAAAGAAGATGTTACTCAGATTCCATACAAAATTCATATCATAACTGCACAACTTTGAAACTCTCTCCTATTTGTCGTAGGGGTAGTAGAATTTTCCAAATGGATGGGTGGACAGGTGTTGAATCATTCCTATTACACGTGTGTGCAGTTGATTCGATAAATAAAGCCTCCGTTATCAATCAATCTCTCCCTCCACCCTGCTGTTACATTAGATTTTAAAATTGTCATCTTATCCCACCCCATTGTATGGTTGTATGTAATTCCATATGGTGAAGTGCTTTAGCTGAACTATTCTCCAGATTTCTTATCTTATTCGGGTCAACTCATCTGACTGACTGACTGGTTTCAACATAGAACTTTGCAGCGATGTGCAGCAGTTCGAGTCGCCACACTCCCTCAATTTAGCATGCAAAGCAAGAGAAGTAAGTAAAAAGAAATGCAAAATAGAGGCAGGAAACAGAGATATAAAGCAAAGAGAATAGTAATATCGAAGAATCATATAGTTTTATTGGAAATTATAAGTCACAAGGAGTGGATGCATCTACACCAGCCATGGAGAACGATTTTGTGCTATATCACCAATTGTCTCCAGCCATTAGTTTCTACCGTCCCGAGGACCTCAACCAAGAAGTCTACACTTTCCTACGTTTTTTTTTCCTTCACGTTCCCCAGTGGAACATAGGGCTTCAAGCTTGTGGCTTGAAGATTCTGTAGCAGTGTTTATTTTACAGGATGGGGTTGCTGGCCTCATGCCCAACCTTTCCTCTTCACCAGCATTATTTCTGGCTTAGCGAGGTAAAGGAGTGCGTCGGTGGCCGGGGATTGAACCCCGGACCATGTGCATGGTCGGCAAGCGTGCTAACCGCTATACACCTTCCTACGTGGCTTAAACTAATTATTGTGGATTTGATTGACTGATGAAGCCATGTTTTATTTTGACTACCACTGGCTCTTTTCCAACGTGATTCATCCTATGTCAGTTTACATTGCCCATCAAGGAAGCCAACGATGCGTAACACATGTCGTAAACATCTCAATCGATGCAGCTGCTTCACAACCTCATTGATTGATTTCCCCTCCTTACCTAGCACTCGACCGACGCCTATCCTCAATATTGCTCACTCTACCATACCCACTAACACCGTAGATAGAAAGCAGACACCTATGATCAAAGATAGCTAGCCAGGTTTTTTCATGTCTTCCACTTTCACTGGCCTTCTCTTGTCCACAGCCATAAAGGAGAACGGAGCGAAATGACTTCTGAGCAGTATACATGCCCTTTGGTCGATAGCTCGATATCACGTCTCCGCCAAAGATGGCATAAACTGGCATGTGCGAAACGAGCTTTCTGTATCCGTGCTGAGATTTCGTCAGCGATCAACCTGTTGGCGTTGACTGATGTAACTTCCCAGATAAGTGAAGTGGTCAACACGCTCAACCAACCACTTCACTCCCTATTCCTAAGCTAGGAGTGAGTCAATGTAGTCCAGTCCTGTAGCATCATCTTACATTTGACAGGAACGAATCTCATCCCAATCACTCGAAGATAGCTGCTCAAAGTGTTCAGAAGACTCTGCATTTTGTCAGCGTTTTCACCCTGGAAGACAATATCATTTGCATATTCTAACTTAACAAGATTATTTCTTGATGGTAACAAGTCAATCTCTGAGTCGCTGAAGTGAGTCACGGTTAATTCCATTAGTACATCTATGAAGAAATTGAATAGAAATGGGTTTTTTATGCTCCGCTAGTCTGACTGACTGTCTGACCTTGTTGTGTACTACTTTACCCTATATATATTTGACCTAACAATCATTGCAGGCAGGTTATTAGATAAACTATTGGCTCCACAGCTTTCTCGATTAAAAGATCCCGTGGAACCAATTAAACAAAACACGTCTACCTACCTTCGCTACATCAACTGACTTACAATGTTCGTATTCTCTCCATTCCTAGTGCAAAATAATGACACTACTTATTATACCTCTACCATTTACGTCATAACCTAGATGTTTTCGTGTGTTGTATTCGTCATACAGTTATTTGATGTAAAAAAAGAAATTTACAGTGGTTAAAAGGCATAGTTTGTCTTTTTCTGTGAGTGATGATGCATTTAGCTAGCGTAAGGCTCATGAAAGCGAAACGTGTAAATTGTGTGTGCACGCACGCATGCGTGCGTGCTAGGGTTATAAAGCCTACTTTTGAAAATATATCATTGTAATTCGGTATTTTAAAGAGCCGCCATTTACGGTCTATAAAAATCGATAACTAATTATCGTGTATATTTTTGCTGATTAGACAAATGCCTGTGAATTTAAATTTTTAGTAGTATATCACGCATACTATTTATGCGTACGAAATAGAATATATTGTGCATACTTCATCAATCAATCAGTCAATCGGTTAATCAGTTTGTCATCTTAAGTACCAAATATTTTTTATTTAGAAATTAAGTGAAACGTGTACCTAAGTGTTTGTTTAAAACGTTTCTGTGTTTTACGTCTGTAAAAAAAAGGCAGGGATTTCTATCTGAATATGACTAATTACCAAAACCCTGTTGGGTGGTGTTCGACTTGGTATAGTATTCTGCACCATATAACTTACAGACAGCTGCCTGCCATAAAATAATTGACTTTGTTCGTTATCTTAATCTATGATACTGTGGATGTCATTACGGTGTTCGGAAAAAGTAAACTGTGTGCGCAAAAAAATTGAACACACGGAGCATAGAACGGCAGTCAAGTCTCTACCTCATTTTTGTTGACTTTGAAGAGACTTTCGTTAGTGGGAAACTCTTTGACAATGAGGAATGTTCCAAACCTTTATCAACCGCAATCTACAGCTATACGTCAACAGATAGTTTCGGAGAAGCTCCTGCAGTTAAGACAAGATTAAGACGTGGCTGCCGACTACCACCAATTGTGTAGTGTACAGGACCATTTGGTAAACTGTAACTAATGACGAAAGGGTAGAAAGGATAGGAACCTAGGAACTCTGGGCACAAACCAACCAAGAACCGACCGCCCAACAAATATGTAAGAGAAAATGGAGATGGATGGGACATATACACACACACAGGAAGAAACCGCTGAGTGGTGACATCTGGAGCCAGACCATCGCTTGAATGGATCTCGAAGGAGGGAAAGACGAGTTGGGCGTTGATCCTAGGGTGATTCGAAAGAGATGGGATTTTTATGGGGAATTTGGGGACTGTAGACAACAGGACGACATGGAGACGGACTGTTGGAACGTTATTCCAACCAGGAAATAATAATGATATTGCGGCGTAATGTGTAATGGACTTTATTGCGTTTGAATTCTGAGATTCCTATTAAGATTAAGTAAAACTTAAATAATTTTATCTGTCTGTCTCATACTGTTTATGTGTTTTTTTAAGGTTTGGTCTTTACTGCTGATCGATAAACTTGGAATTACTCGAGAATTATTCAACGCTTGTTTAAGTGAAAGTAAACGTCATGTTGAATCAGATATCACTAATCAACGCTGTGCAAGTGCTGATTACACAACAAAGAAATCACCTATGTTTTTAAAAAGTGTATTCTTCAATTCCTCTTTCGATTTAACTAATTTAAAAACAGATTCTACTAGTTGTAAAGTGTGCAATTTTATATTGCGCAAGTTAAATACAACACCAATTAAACGAGAATATACACGTGCTTCTACTACAGAGTATTCTACTTTTAATAGTTTTAGTAGCAGTTTTATGAGAATGCCTCGATATGATAGACGTTCTTCAACCAATCCACTGATGACTATGTCAAATAGTTCTCCGAAATTAGACAATTTAGCATTTGGATCAGTATCTTTAACAGGTAATCATCTTTTTAAAAATTCATTACGGTCTTATTTTTGCTTTTGCTAAAATAAATTCACTGGTCTCATGTTTCGCATTTTATTGAAGGTGTTACGTCAATTTCTTTGCGTCTTATGCTATTAGTTTCATACTTGTTGAAAGATAACGGCAAGACCTATCTGCATCTATCTGGATGTTTTTTGTCGTTTTTGTGCGTGCAATCGCTTGATTTTGTTCTTCTGTAAAGTGTAGGAATCAAGATCTTAGCTTGATTTATCGATCTCTGTCCAGTCTGCAAAAATAAACCAATCAGAATCAACCTACGGGAAATAACGCCCACTATTTTGTTAATTATGATTACAGACTATTTGATGTAGCCATGGTGGTTTTTTGAATCATATATTTTTGTGTAAGCATACTGTTGCTTTTCGTCTAGTCTATGGTGTCCTGTCATTTAGACTGTGGGCTGAGAGATTGGTTAGGCGTTGTATACATGTGTTGGTGAAGACAAGCGATACTCGTGATTACTGCTGCTTCTATCACCACCTCGGTGTTCGTATTTCAACTCAATGTTTTACGAAATATAATATAGCCGTAGTTTCTCTTTTCAGCCTATTAATCATTTTCATATCACAAAGTTTTAGGTCGAATCTAACTCTCATGTAGATGTTTGTACCCTCCTGTCTCAATAAATGCATCCTAATTGAGTGGCTGTTAAATCGAGAATCGGGAAGGCGAGAAACACATTCATCAACCTGAAACCAATCTCGAAATCTTCGTCACTCAGCATCAACAACAAAATTCGGATTTTCAATACAAACGTCAAGTCAGTCAGTTCTTCTATACGGATGGATCAGAAACTTGGCGGGTCACAAAGAATATTTCCAACAGCCTGTTGCAGACCTTTATCAACAACTGTCTTCGCTCTATACTGAAGATCAAATGGCCGGACGGAAAGAATCACCAAAAAGAGACTATGGGAACAAACAAAACAAGAACCGATCGCCCAACAAATATGCAGGAGAAAGTGCAGATGGATTGGACACTCACTGAGGAGGCCGTTGGTTGACATCGCGCGTCAGGCCCTCAAGTGGGACGTCCAAGGGTGACATGGAGGAGATCGCATGAAGAGGAGTTGAAACAGTATGGACTAACATGGATGGAGATGAAAAGTACAACAGAAGACAGAAGCAAGGGGAGATGTGCAGTTGGAGCCCTATGTTCCACTAGGAACCCAGGGGGACAATAATAATAATAGTGAATTGGATGGCGTTTTATTACCTCCAAAATTTTTTCTTCTTCGTCAATTAGAGCAATAGTTTGTTGCTTCATCTCTTGAAACCTCGTTTTTTCATTCCTTTTGGGTTCCGAGTGGAACATAGGACGTCGACATTGCGGTCTGAAGTTTCAGCATCAGTGGGTTTTTTACAGACGGGGAAGTTGCTAGTCTCACGTCCAACTTTCCCTCTTCACCTGGCCTTCTTCCAGCTATACGAGATCTAGGAGTGTGTTGACCGAGGACAGAAAGCCAGACCACATGCAGCATGGTTGACAAGTATCTTCCCATTGCACCACCGATGCACACTAGACTTCTTATATTTCAATCAAAATTAACCTTAATATTTTTTTTTCCTTCACGTTACCCAGTGGAACATAGGGCTTCAGGCTTGTGGCTTGAAGTTTCTGTAGCAGTGTTTATTTTACAGGATGAGTTTGCTAGCTTCATGCCCAATCTTTCCTCTTCACCAGCATTATTTCTGGCTTAGCGAGGTAAGGGAGTCTGTCGGCCGGCGATCACACCCCAGACCATGTGCATGGTCGGCAAGCGTCCTACCCACTATGCCACCGACGCACAAAGCACTCCAGCGCCGGGAATCGAACCCGGGCCGCCTGGGTGAAAGCCAGGAATCCTTACCAATTCATTTAACTAGTTGGGTATTAGAATAAAGAATTTTGTACTGAAGAGATGGAATGTTTATCAAATTATTTGTGAATAAAACAACCGTGAACACACAAATAGAACATTCCATTACTTGTACGATAAAGTTTACCAAGGTTTTGCATAAAACACTTGTGAAGTCATTAGTGAATACATTTCATTGAATGTCCCACTTAATAATATTGTTTGCATAAACTGCAATTGGATCCAACTAACTAACTTCAGATACAATCAAATATTCAAGTATTGGTTTTGTAGAGATTTTGTTTGATTGTATGGAAGATTTCATCATGAATTGACATCAGTTAGAGAACCATTGGAATACCAACGGGGAGTACTGGACAGCTGTTTCGTCCTAGTTTGGGACTCTTCAGCAGTACACAACCTGGGGTTCTGGTGGGAAGCCGTGACCAGTAGGGTAAAGCAGGTTGAAGATCATGCAGTAACTCATTGAAGAAGACATTGCGAAATGGTCGCGCTACGTTGTGAATTTGCAGAACTTAGAATTCAAGGACCATTGCATCGCGTCCCAATGGCTCAATTGTCTACGAGCTCGTCTTGTAACCAGAAGGTCCTGGTATCGAATCCCGGCGGGTGCGTACTGTGAAGAGTCCCAAACTATGACGAAAAAGCTGTCCAGCGCTCCCTGTTTGTTTTCCAGTGGTTCTCTAACTGATGTCAGCTCATGATGAAATCCTCCATGCAATCAGATATTCGTAAATTTGTCACAATTGTTGAACAGATAAATCTCTGTTTCTTTCTGTTTGTTCTTTTTCAATTCTGTTCATAATCTGTAGATCGTGTTATCATCGGTCCACGTGGAGTTAAATCGAATGATATCTGTCGAACATTTCCCGACTTGAGATTATTTCAATTTGGTAATCCATATCATGAAAAGCTGCATGATTTGTTGGCTGCATATATCACATATAAACCTGATGTTGGCTATGTCCCAGGAATGTCATCACTGGCTGGAATGCTTTTAATTGTATTGGATAATGTTTATGATGCATTTGTAATATTTGCAAATATTTTAGCTAAACCATGTCAGCAAGCATTTTACAGTTTAAATGAAGAAAAAGTGAGTCTGCTTAAACATGTTCATGTAGACTACTAACTTTGATAGTTGTCTGGGGGTAGGCTTATTAACCACCACATCGTGTAGTCAATCCCGCCTTTTCAGTTGACGGTACTTGCCTTTCAATCAGTCCTGTCTATATTTCAGCTTGAATAGCTATGAGTAGTATTCTCAGTTCTTATGCAACAAGTGTTGATCGTAGCCTGTTAAGTCGGGGATCTGTTCCAGGCAACTGATTTCGAAGTAATGATAGCTAATCATACTTTGTGAAGACAGGAGTAAGACACAAGGCTTCGTTTTAATTCATGGATAATCCCCATCCAGGCATTAATGAAAACAAAACACGTAGTTCAGCGAAGAGTCTCTTTTCGACGGTGAATTCATTTTTGTAGCTGTACAATCACAAATATATATATATATATATGTAGTGTTCTCCATCCGTCCACTGATCTGCAGAAGCCTCGAGGACAAGATCCCGCATCTGACCACTTCTATGTGCATATATCAATTCACCAACTGCTATGAAGCCAGGTACGTCGGTCGTTCGACGCGCATCCTGTCCAAGAGGATTCAAGAACACTATCCAACCAGCATAGTTGCGAAAAGGCGAGTGGTGCAATATGGAGTGCGATAATTGAACGCCTGGTCATTCCATCTCAACAAACTCCTCATACTTCAAAGTAATCTGCAAAGTGAGGAATAACCTACCAAAAGCCATACGGTTTCGTCTTCTTTGTATCACTGAAGCTCTGGCCATTCACATAGAAAAACGGGAGCTTTGCATACAAAAGAGGATTACTCAACCACTTATACTATCATGGTAACATATTTGTTGATTTTCGATGACTCAATTTTGTTTGTTTGCTTGTTTCTTTAATTGCTTATAATTCTTGTATTCCTTTAGAACTCTTACGTAATTTCGTATTCTCTACTTTGTTCCTATGTGTATCCTGAGTAAAACTCACTCATCGAACTATTCATATTATTACATAATTTCTTTTAACAACTGTTTGTGACAAGTCATCACCTTTTTTACTACCCTAGATTCAGTAACACCTAGGTTTCTTGACTGGTTCTGTATTACGTAACTCCAATTATCAATCTTCACCTGTTTAGTTAAAATAACCATAACCGATTGTAATTTTGTTTGGCAAACTTAATGTACACATACATACAAAATAACCCATATATATATATTTGCGATTGTACAGTTAAGAAAATGAATTCGCCGTCGAAAAGAGACTCTCCGTTGAACTACGTGTTTTGTTTCCATTAATACAAGGCTATCTATTATCATCAAGGATATTACTAATTCTGGCGAACTAGACTATGTGGCAGATTGTGCATGGGAGCGAGAAGACAGGAAGACGTTGGACCACCGATAAGAAAACTCTAGGAGATATAGATTTCGTGAGTGGACCTTCTGGTTTCAAGGCGAGCTCGTCGAGTATTTGTCCTCACACCCGACCTGCTGCATCCTACTGGTCACGACTTCCCACTGGAACCCTAGGTAACTACCTACCTGAATAGGGCAAGTCGCTAGTGAGCGCCTCATTGATATTCAAGTGTTGGTTTGTAGGGGTTCGATTGGTTACAGGAATTCATCATGAGCTCACATTAGTTAGAGAGCCATTGGAAACATGGGAGTAGTGGAAGAGTTGAAGATAACAAACCAACCAACAAAAACAACAGCAAGCACCAGTCACTCACTATTAATGGGAATAAATTTGAAGGTGGTCACTTCCTTCACTTATCTAGCCAGAATCGTTTCAAATACAGGCAATAAACGGATGAGAATGGCAAAACCAGCCGAAATTGAAAAATAGGCCAGTCAGACCAACGTCTGCACACATCAAGTCAGTTAGTTCATCGATATGCATCAGTGACTTGAACTGCGTGTCACGAAAAAGCATTTCCAACATCCTACTGCACACTTTTATCAACACAGCTGCCGACACTGATTCAATACTAAGGATCAGATAGATGACTGGTCAGATAGAATTAGCAATAAGAAACTTTTCAGAGAGAAGGACCGGTCAAAAACTTATTCATAGAAAATCAAAACAAGTGATTTAATGAAGAGACTCTTTCCAACAAATTTATTATCAAACTGTACAATCGTATATATATGTATATAAACACTCCAGGATTTCATAAATGGCCTCCCAAAACTTTGACGTAATATCCTCATGGCCTCAGTGTATTCTTCGTTTGGGGGCATAAACTTGCAGCACTGTATAGCTCTTGCAGCAACACCAGTGCAATACCTCAACAAATACATCAACTTCATTTCGTCGTTTTCATACAAAACCACTCAACATGACTTCAAACACTTTGATAAACTGTGGATACTCGGCTGGGTTTCCATCAAAGTACTGAGGCTCAAATTTCGGTAGTTTAAAACCCCTACTATCACTTGATGGCGAAAGATGAACATCGAGCTTTTCGTGCTGAGCATGATAAACATCATTACAAATAACAGGCAACTCAACTCAACATTACTTACTTTTCTGTCTGCTTCCAAAGTGCCACGTCCCTTCCTTGGCCCAGGCATTATCCAACGTCACCAAAAGATCCAAATTGCGTTGCGATAATCCGTGACACCAAAGATGCTGGCGGTGGACCAAGTAAGTACTCTTCAAAAGAGTTCCAGAAGTCGCTCCGAACATGGAAAAGAAGAATAAAAACTTTCAAGAAACTTAACCCTAAGTTCATATTATTTTCGAAGACACTTCGAATCGACAATTATACTAGGTACGATTATCGACTTTAACTCCTAAAAACACAAGGACCAATAAGAAATTGTATTGTTCGACAGTTAAAATCAATATTCTGTACAACGTCTATTAACAAATGTTTTACAAGGAAGGTATTGTACTTTTATTCGTATTCTTTCGTCTTCTTCCAACTTGTACCCGACTGAATCATTCGCGTCTTCAAGTTGACCGCCAATGGCGACCATATATATGTATATATATGGTTTTTTAAGAAATTATATACAGTAAGGGAATTGAATCATAGGTGTGAATGCATAAAATAATAGTATTATGAAATGCAGTTAGAATGTTAGTGATTCTAATCATAGTTAAATATCAAGTGGCAAAACAATTAATGTCATAAACAGAACAATTGATAGGATGTATAAATATTGGAAGGTATGTACAATTCTGGGATTCGTAGGTGAATAGAATTAAAAATAAAAACGTTGCGTAACAGTGTGTGAAATTCGGTAACATAGAATTTAACGTTGCAAAACAAAACTGATTCTGAATGACAAGTGGACCAATGAAATAATACCGGGGACAATTCAGAGTGAGAATAATGGTAGTAGTAACAACCGACATAGTAAGAAGAGGATATATATAAACTGGTTAAACAAAACGAAAAACAAGTAGTGCCAAAGTATGATTAGGGATGACCATACTTTAGCAAAGAATGATTAAGACAATGAGCTAACATTGGTCAGCTCATGATGAAATCCTATAACTAATCAACCAAATCCCTACAAACCAATACTTGAATATCAATGAGATGCTCACTGGCGACTGGCTTTATTCAAGTGGGTAATTACCTGGGATTCCAGTGGGAAGTCGTGACCAGTAGGGTGCAGCAGGTCGGGTGTGAGGACAAATACTCGCCGAAGACATTGGCTAGCGGTTGCGCTATGTTGTGAATTGGCAGAAGTTAGAATTCATGGGCTGGCCATTGGATCGGGTCCCAGTGGTTAAATGGTCTACGAGCTCTCTCGCTCACCTTGTAACCAGAAGGTCCTGGGTTCGAACCCCAGTGGCGGTGGGTGCGTACTGCCAAAGAGTCCCAAACTAGGACGGGGAAACAGATGGCTATCCAGTACTCCCAGCTGGTGGTTTTCCAATGGTTCTCTAACCAATGTCAGCTCATGATGAAATCCTGTAAGACAATGAAGGTTGGAGGCGTCGAACGAATTTTTTTTCTGTATACAGATATCTGGCTTTTCTGTTTGATGTCTAAAGTTCCATCGATGCAGATGAGTCGGATACGTGGTGATTTGGGTTAATTACTTTCCGTCTTGTAAATGACTTTAAAGGATAGGGCTGTAGAGATAGGGTGATCATTACCAACCAAATATTCAGTGATCGCGCTTCTTATAGTTCCCCTTCCACTTCTTCGTAATCATGCAGGATAGTGTTCTTGCACCTTCTTGGGCAGAACTGGAGTCAAATGACCGATATACCTAGCTCCACATGAGCAGGTGAATTGTTTTACCACTTGACATTTAACGATAATTAGAATCACAAACATTTTATAATTGCATTTCGGACCATTATTATTTTATGTATTCGCAACTTTGGTTCAATTCCCACAGGAGATACAATTTCTTATAAAAAATACTCATATATATGCGATTGTAGAGCTTTTTAATAAATTTGTTGAAAAGAGTCTTTTCACTGAATCACTTGTTTTGATTTTCTATAAGTCCCAATGAGAATTTTCCATGAATTAAAAAAAGTATTTCCCAACGTATATGTTGGGGAAAACGTATATGGATCGGATACATGCCATTGATGACATCACTGGGTAGTATCACCCGCCAGGCCATCGCTCAAGTGCAACTCGAATGGAAAATGTCGAGTTGGGTGTTTGTCCAAGGGTGATATGGAGGAGATCATGTGAGAAGGAGGTGAAAGCTTATGAAAAGTCGTGAGGCCAGCTGAAAAGGACTGAAGAGAGCTGGACATAAAGGAGATAGATGTTCTGCTGAAGCTGTGTTTTACATTCAGAACACCAGGGAATAATAATAGTAATATATACACCCCTAAATCGCTGTATAGCTATGAAGTGAATTTGTGAAAAGAGATGATGAATAGTCAGTTAGAAGTAATTGATAGGAAGAAGGATAACAAAGACTTTCCCATCGATTTATTGGACGGAAGTGCTCGATCTCAGGTTTACATGTCGGCTTCCGGTGCAATTAGATGCTGACGAGTCCCAAATAGGACGAAATGCGCGTTATCCTGGTGGATTCCACTGCTAGTCACCGTTCACCGATCAACTTCTGATTACATGTCTAGACATCATCGAAGCATCTGCACAAGAAGCCGATATGTCAACCTGAGACCGAGCAATTCGGTCCAATCAATCGATGGGAAAATCTAAAACTTGAATTAAGTAATTAATAAAACCCTTTGCACAAAAGGCAGTGGCTCTCGTGGCCCAAGTGGTCTAATGGACAACGCTTAGACGTTTGAAACTATGCGCACTGGGTTCGAGCCTCGGTGGGATCATCATCACTCACTCACTGAGAGATGCAGGTACATCCAGCTGGTGAACGAGTCTGAAATAGGACGAAATGCGCATTATCCTGGTGGATTCAACTGCTAGTCACCATTCACCAATTAGGATAACAGAGAATTGAAAAATGAGTTATATCGAATATAAAGACTACATAGAGTTTGTTATGCAACAGTTCAAGAGAACACAATAGACACTAAAGCTATGGTAGGAAAAAGAAGGTTGGATTAAACATTTTTAAACATAAAAGTTCTGGTTTCTCCCTAGGAATTACCAGAGCCTTGGCTGTTCCGTGTTATCCTTTCACAACATATTTTACTGCAATATCTTTAAATGAATTGCGTTTGTTTCTTCTTTAACTTTTACAGCCTTGAATGCCGCACTGACCCAACAAGCTAAACTGGCTGGGACTCATGTCGCTACAGGTCCTACCATGCCAGGAAGGTTGTTTGGATAGCGGTTAGACTAAAAGCAGTTACCATGGGGTACATGGGCTCCAGAATCCAATCGGATCAAATGACGTACGAACCCATATGGGTCGCCGGCAACCATGGGAACGCAGCACCTGATGCTGCTCCGCTGCCTTGCGGGTTAGACTCCAAGTCAAAGGCTCGGGGTGTTCCCTTAAGAAAACCACCTGCTTCGGTCTGGGCACCCGGGCAGTATCTTAGCCCTCACACAATGAATGAAATAAAGCAACAAAATATCAGTGGGACTTATCGCGCGCTCGTAACAATGCGTTCAAGCAATAATGATTTCTCAAGTAACACATCTCTTTCCAACCTTACTTTTATTTTTATACTTAGTTTCCTGTATTTTACCTTTGCTCACCTTGACTTCTTAACCTTCGACAGCCTTTTGCCTTTGTCTGGATTCCTAGCCTATTTGTGTCGTGTTGCAATTTCCTTCTTTCTTCCCTTCCTGATGATAGTTAACGAATACTGTTTGAACTTGTTAAACATGACTGTTTTCCTTCCAGATGAAGTTCTTTATCCTTTTTCTACTTATATTTTTTACTTTTAATCTATGTTGTTTTATTATTATTGTGTGGCGCATCTTTCTTGGTGCCATATTGTACCAAGTTTTTTCTGCGTTTAAATAAATAATAATAAATAATTTACCGCCTTCAATGAACTTGCCTTGAAAGTTTCAACATCAAAGTATTTTGTATTTCAGCGAATCTTATGTTAGATCTAGACAAGTCACTTAAGAAATAGGTGCCATCCATCTCCTCACGGCACATCTCATTCATACTTCTGAGGCAATCTTTCAAAAAGTACTACCTGAAATTTCTATAGTTGTAAAATTTTATCCTGAGTAATAGTCAAGCATTTAAAACACTTTTATGATGTTGTGTTGTACTTTTATTGAAATTGGATGTGTGACTTTTTTGAGCTTAATCACTCAACTTCTAATCAATGGGTCTCAGGTAGGAAAAACTCACTTCATCTGCTTTAGACGGGAGTAGTGTCATCAGTCCTCAGGCAAGTGTGCCTCATAGTCTGTAACCGTGTAACTGAGTTCTAGCTAATCAACTAACGCACTGGAGAAATATTCAGGTGGTGGATAAGGCTCAAAATGAAATTTCCAGAAAGTTGATTGACCTAGTTGACCTATTGTATCAGTATTATGCTATTTGGTTCGTTAGCACTGATATAGATAGATATATACATGTAACTACAAGTAATAATAAATAATAAGACTCCTTTTCATTCAGAGATGTTCAATAGCGATCATAAAAAAATAGTGAAACGGTCGAAATCTAAACTCAAAAAAAACCGATCTCTGTGTCTTAATGTCTTAATAGCTGACCAATAATACACGGCCTCTCAAAACTCTCCAAAGACAGCAATAAATAATCTATGTTACTCTGTGCAACAGTAATAACATTAAAAACTTGATATTACCTCAACTGTGTCGTTAGACATAGAAAGCATTTCCACCGGCCTGCTGTAGACCATTATCAACAGCGAAAGAATTAGAAAACAAGACACTCTGAGAATGAACCAATCAAGATTTAGGGCGAGAAAGATGGAGATGGATTGAACACATGCCACTGACAAGACAGTTGAACGACATCGCTCTAGTGAAACCGCAAATAGGAAACGACGAGTTTGTCGTTGGTCTAAAGGTGACATGGAGGAGATCGTGTCAGCTAGCGATCACAGCTTATAGGCAATCTAAGGGCCAGCTGAAGAGGACTGGAGAGAACAGGATTCTAATGGAGACTTCGAAGTAAATTTAGCATGTAATTAGAATTTGATTGGTGGATGGTGATTAGCAGTAGAATCCACCAGGATAACGCGCATTTCGTCCTATTTGCGACTTGTTCACCAGCTGGATGTACCTGCATTCCCCAGTGAGTGAGTGATGATATTCCCACCAAGGCTGGCAGCCAGTTCCCATGGTTTCAAACGCCAAAGCGTTATCCTCTATGGGAACATCATCACTCACTGTGGAATCCAGGTACATCCAACCGGTGGACGAGTCCCAAATAGGACGAAATGCGCGTTATCCTGGTGGATTCCACTACTAGTCACCATCCACCAATTAAATTTGCCTTCCTTATTTAGTAGCAACTATTCGTCGTTATGACTGATAGCACTGTATTCATCAACTGAGTTTAATTTTTTCTGATTGACTGCTATTTTGTCTCTATTTTCTTTTGTTTTTTTAACAAATTAGTTTTTAGTCTACGTGAATGCTTTCGATAAATTATTTGCTGAATATCTGCCTCATTTGTATGCCCACATTAAAGCAGTTGGATTCGAGACAAACATGTTTCTATTCGATTGGTTTTTCACTATATTTAGGTAAGTCCTTAGGATTTTTTCCATCTCTGTGCTTTTTTGTTTTGCAACAATAAAATCTGTTGAATATACTTCACCGCCTATCGATTTGGTTGTTTCAACAGAGAATATTGTTACTCAAGTAGGATTAGGTTTAAAGAGAGATGAATATCAGTTTTTATTCTGAGTGGAACATAGGTCTTCAACTGAACATCTTCACATTGCCGTATTCTCTGCCATCCTCTCGGGTGTCCGCATTATTTTCTCTAAGCTTTAATCCTCTCCTCACGTGATCTCCTGTATCTCACCCTAGGGCGAAAGCACAACTCATCGTTCCCCAACTCGGATTTTACGCGAGCGATGATCTGTCACGTGACGCCATTCGATGGTCTCCTCGGTGACGTGTGTCCGATACATCTTCATTTTCTTCGGAGCATTTATTGAGCGATAGGTGATAAAAGTCTGTAAGTTGTTGAAAATCCTTTCCGTGCAACTTTCTGACCCGTAAAGAAGAACTTACACCGGGTATTGAAATTCCGAATTTGTTGTTTATTACCGCAGAATGCAGATTTCCAGATTGATTTCAGAATGATGAAGGTGTGTCTTGCCCTATTTCGGCCAAGTTAAACTTTAAGCACCACTAACTACCACCACCAATGGAGTGCGACCTCGCCAATGAATACCTTGAAACGCTCACTGAACAACTTAGTGAAACCTAGCAAATAATGTTGTCATCATCAATAAAATATGCTCATCGAAGTGTTATTCTATTAATTAAATTGGATATCTGGCAAGTTTCACCTTAGGTTTTGGAACGATTAAAGTACGCTTTAAGTCAAGGACAAGTTAGGGTTAGGTTAACCTTATAAAGGAAAAGTTAGGGTTGGTTCGAGTTATATTACAGTTAGTTTAGGGATATTTTCACGTTCGGATTAGGTTCAGGAAAGATTAGGGTTAGAAGACCTAAATAATTACATGCATAGAATGTGGTTACATTACTCTGTTGATATAAGAATAGAACCTGTGCACTGTGGTAGAGTATAATTCGATTGTGGGTAAAATCTATTTTGATAAGTTACACAGTGTTATACAGTAATATTTACTGATGACGTTTCGAGCACAGTTTATTACCCAGTAAATACTACTGTATAACACTATGAGACTTTATCAAAATGAAGTTTACCCACAATGGAATTAAACTCTGTTGATACTCCAACCTAAAAAACTGGGAGCTATTTTTATCACATGTGAGAGGAAGGTATCCTCTTTAACACTTTTCTACAGTTTTTATGCATTATTTCATAAATAAATGTATTCCATACACAAAATTGCCTCCTTCACGTGATTGGTGCGTTCGAGGTCATTCGCTGATTAGCCGTTGGTGGTGTTTAAACTTTAACACTGCCCCTTTTTCAATTTGGGCTGGTTTTGACATTGTCATCCGTGCCTATTGCCTATGCTTGAAAGGATGCTGCCTGACCAGATAAGTGAAGCAAGTGACCTCTCTCAAATTTTGTTCCGTTGATAATGATTGGTGCTTGTTGTTGGTGGTGTTGTTATTGCTCGTGGTTGGTCTGTCATCTTCAACACCTCCGTCTTCTCTATGTTTACTTGAAGTTCTGTCTTTGCTGTACGCTTCTCGTGCTAGTTTGTAAGTTTTCACCTGTAAATCTTTGAGTGTCTGTAACATTAGACATAAATTTTTATGGAGATCCAGATCTTCGAAAGTTTTGTTATCTGTGGTCCGCCGTATTCCTGTTTACTCACTCCCCACGTACAATATGCCACATAATCCGGTCAGTCCACCACTGGTAGTGGGCGACAGCCTTTTCTAACTCCTTTGTATATACTTCAAATGCTTCGATGAACCGACTGTTAATAAACTAGAATGTTGTTATACAAAAACCCATGAAGTTATTATTATTATTAACTTGGACTGTTTAACTGTAATCGCGTGACACATAAAAAACGCGTAGTAAGAAACTCTGTTTAACGTGACGCAGACTCTGTATATGCGTATTCATAATTCATTCTCATATGACTTATATAATATTAGAATTCTTTTTGTGCATTTTACATATTTTCCATTTTACGTCACTCTATTGTTATTGTTATTATTATTATTCCCTTGGGTTCCGAGTGTAACATAGGGAGGTTTTCAATAACACATCTCTTCTTTCTTCTATTCTCTACCGTCCTCTTTAGCTGGGTCCACATTTCCCCATAATCTCTCATCTCCTCCATGTCATTCTGGCACTGATGACCCGCTCGTTGCTTCCCATTGCGACTGCACTAGAGAGATGACCTGGATTGCGCACGATATCATTCGACGACCTCCTCAGTGGCGTGTATGCCCGATGGCTCCATCTCCACTTTCTCCTACATATTTGTTGAGCGATCGCCTCTTGCTCGGTTGGTTTGTTCCATCGAGGAGTTTCTTGTTGCTGATTCTTTCTAGCTGGCCAACCGGCCATTTGATCTTCAGTATGGAGCCAGCGAAGGCAGCTGTTGGTAAAAGTCTGTAACTTGTTGGAAATTCTTTTCGTGACACACAGTGCAAGTTTCTGATCCGTATAGGAGCACTGACTGATTTCACATTTGTGTTGAACAGAATCCAAATCTTGTTCTTCATGCTGAAGCGGAGTAGAGAAGATTTTCAAAATGGTTTCAGATCGGTGAAGGTGTGTCTTGTGTTCCCTCCTTTGGCTGACTGGTTTTGAGATCTTCATACGTTTCAACTGCCTTTAGTTGAAACCGTGCTTTCTGGTCAGATAAGTGAAGGAGGAGAGTGACCTCTACTAAATCTCTCATGTCTGTCTGTCTGTTTTCGACATAGAACTTTGTACATATTTACGGCAGTTCAAGTCGCCACACTCCCTCATTGTAGCACACAAAGCAAGAGAAGAAAGGTATAGTAGTAATGAAGAACAGAACAGTTTCATTGGAAATCATAAGTCACAAGGAGTGGATGCATCTGCACCAGCCATTGAGAACGATCACTTTGAGCCATGTCACCAATTGTTTCCAACCATTAGTTTTTACCGTCCCGAAGACCACAACCAGGAAGTCTACATCTTCTTGCGTGGCTTAGACTAACTGTTGTAGATTTCATTGACTGGTGCCATGTTTTTGGTTTGACCGCCGCTAGCTCTTTTCCAGCCTGATCCATCCTATATCAGCTAACATTTCCAGTCGGTCGAGGAAGGCGATGACTAGGCATACATAACACATGTCCTAACCATCTCAGTCCATGTAATTTCACAACCTCGTCGATTGATTTCCCCTCCTTGCCTAGCACTCGACCGACGCCTAACCTCTATATTGCTCACCTTATTATACCACTTCACGCGGGAGATAGAACGCAGACACCAATGATCAAAGACAGGTAATCTTTTCATGTCTTCCGGTCTCAATGACCATGTCTCACAGCCATAAATGAGGACGGGAGAGGACTGATGAGCAGTACACACGCCCTTTGATTGATAGTCGGATATCACATCTACGCCAGAGACGGCGTAAACTGGCATATGCGAAACTAGCCCTCTGTATCCGTGCTGAGATTTCGTCGGAGATCAACCCGTTGGGGCTGATGGTACTTCCCAAATATGTGAAGCGGTCAACGTGCTCTCACGTTGATGGTGATTGGCGCTGGCTGTTGTTATTGTTGTTGCTGTTGGTTGGTTGTTTGGTTGTTAATCTGTGAAGAAGACAAGACTGAGGAGACTGAAAGGATTGTTTATTTGGTGAAACGTATGGTACATAGCTAAATTTGGAATACCATATTCTAAACCGGCCATTTGCACATCTTCACCACATCCTTGACGAATTGGTCGAATATCATCTCATTCGATAGCTTCTTGGATTCTGCATCATATGGCAACATTCTTCTTATGGTTCTCTTCTTTGATTGCTCTTTCGGTGTGCCAAACATGTTGTTACTTCGTTCCTGATATACTACTTATATCGGATTATAAGTAGCACTCACCACACTCGCCCCCTCATTATAAAGTCTCTCCTGTAACCGCCTTGATCGCCGCACAGACGTTTCTTCCTGCTGCTCTTCTGGTACCTCATCTTGACATTCTTCTCTCCATCTTTGTAGCAGACTGGCGTTTACTCTTTTCTCTTTATCACCTCTCTTTATTGTGTACACTGGACCGCGTCTCGATGTGACCACATATGGTCCCTCCCACTTCGGCAGAAGCTTTCCTGATCCTGGTCCACTTCCGGTAGTATACTTTCGTTCTCTACATTTCACCTGGTCACCTACTTCAAACGGCTTCCAAGCTTTGATTTGTTTCTTGCCATAATTTTCGATGTCTTTCTTGCGCTTCTCTTGTATATTCTGAATAGCTTGTTTCCGCTCATTTGTCCATCTCTTACTGTTCCATTTTTCTTGTGTTGGCCAAGTCTTATGGTGCACCGGTAAGCGTGGTTTCCTCCCATACATCAGCTGGAAAGGCGACTTTTTTGTTGTCCCTTGTACTGTGGCACGATGTGCTAGTATTACCAACGGTAAGTCAGTTTCCCAGTTGCCTCTTTTCGCAGCTAGCCACTCCTTGAGTGTACGATTGTTCCTTTCGGTTAAGCCGTTTGTCTGCGGATGATACGGAGTCGTTCTAATCCTCTTAATACCCAGTGCCTCCAGACGAGTCTTGAACTCCTCACTTTCAAAACAGGGGCCTTGATCTGTCAATATCATTTTCGGTACACCATGATCCGCCACAATATGTCGAATGACGGCCTCGGTTACGGTCTTGGCGCGCTGATCTGGAATCGCTACAGCATTTACCCACCGCGTGGCGTGTTCCGTCATCACTAAAATGTATTGATTTCCACTTGCTGTCTGAGGGAAAGGACCCATTATGTCCACGGACCATAAGTCACCAACCGCCGTTACGGGTATCGTTTGTAGCTGCGGTCGACTGCACCGATCACCCTTCATCAATTGACACTGTGGGCAAGCGAGTACGTAGTTTGCAATATCGCCTCTCATGTTTGGCCAGTATGCACTTTGGCTCACT